GCGGTGTCCCGCCGGTGTCCCGCGGTGTCCCGCGGTGTCCCGCGGTGCCCCGCGGTGTCCCGCCGGTGTCCCGCGGTGTCCCGCGATGATGATGATGATGATGATGATGATGATGATGATGATGATGATGATGATGATGATGATGATGATGATGATGATGATGATGATGATGATGATGATGATGATGATGATGATGATGATGATGATGATGATGATGATGATGATGATGATGATGATGATGATGATGATGATGATGATGATGATGATGATGATGATGATGATGATGATGATGATGATGATGATGATGATGATGATGATGATGATGATGATGATGATGATGATGATGATGATGATGATGATGATGATGATGATGATGATGATGATGATGATGATGATGATGATGATGATGATGATGATGATGATGATGATGATGATGATGATGATGATGATGATGATGATGATCGAGTGAGATCGAGTGAGATCGAGTGTGAGATAGATAGAGTGAGATCGAGTGAGATCGAGTGAGATCGATTGTGAGATCGATTGTGAGATCGATCGAGGGAGATCGATCGAGCGAGACCGATACTGAGATCGATGGTGAGATCGATAGTGAGACCGATCGAGTGAGACGTTGGTTCCTCCCCCCCCCCGAACCTCCTTATCACCCGAAGGGTGGTCGTATAGGTATGGGAGAAGGAGGAGGAGGAGGAGGAGGAGGAGGAGGCGGAGGTGGAGGGCGGAGGCGGAGGATGAGGAATAAAGCAGGATAAGGTGGTTGAGTCGGTCGGAGGATGAGGAAGCCAGGGAAAGGAACCAGCGGAAGAGAGCGGCAGGGGAAAGGCGAGAAGGAGGGGGGGGAGGTGGAGGAGGAGGAGGAGGAGGAGGAGGAGGCGGAGGAGGAGGAGGAGGAGGAGAAGGAGAAACACCACGAGGAGCAGTAGGAGACGGATGAGGACAAGGAGGGACAGGGTGGGGATTGACGCAGCGGGTTCTGCGACCCCCCCGTCTTAGCAAACGAAACATCAAATGAGGGCGGCTCGAAGCGTTCGCGTGGCACCTCTGGACCCCGTAAAGCCTAATACGGCGGCAGCATTGGATAATGAACCCCTTCCTGGGGCCCATACCCTTGCGCATTCTTTATTGATTCAAGGCGAGGTGGGTGACCCACGTTTGGCCGCCCATCGGTCGCGAGACCCTGGGTTCCTTATCGAAGGTATTCTTATCTTGAACCTCCACCGCAGATGGAAGCTCTCGTTTCCTCCCTTCCGGGGTGATCTCTTTCGATTCCTGCGAAGATGCCGGGGCGGGCACGCAGCCGCTTGTCCCATTCATGATGGGGACGATCGTGCGAGTCGCGTCCGCCAAGCGGGCTGTCCATCTCCATTCGTGCCTCACCTTACCTCCTCCTTCTCCTCCTCCTCCTCTTCTGCTCTTCCCGTCTCCCTCCCCCTCTTCGGGCGGCGATGGCGACGAGGACGACAGCGGCGCCTGGCTTCCCTGCAGGGGGTTCCATCCTCCCGCGGCTACACGGGCGGCTTCGCGTGTGATCTTATGATCAAGGAGCCCACCCGGGCACGGTCTTGCCATGCCCGTCGCTGTCCCGACGGGCGGAAGAAGGGGGGGAGTGGAGGAGGTCGCCTCCGTCTCTGCCTCCTCCTCCTCCGTCTCCTCCCCTTTCTCTTCTCAGCCTCGTTTTTTTCCCTTGGCGAGCTGCAGCGCGCACGGTGTCTGACTGCGCCTGTGCGGAGCGCAGGGCTCTTGGTGGACGGGCTTCCCCGCAGCCGGGTGCTGGTCCACCCCTCGCTCCTCTCGTCCCCGTGTTGCTCCTCCCTGTCCTCCCCCCTCTTCCTCCTCCCTTCGCGCGCGAACTCTCTCTCTCTCTCTCTCTTTCTCTCTCTCGCCATCCTTCTCTCTCTCTCTCTCGCGTGCGCTGGAGCGGGGGAGAGGGGAGGGACAGGGTGAGGGAGGATGCGTGGACTGGAGGAACGGAGGGGAGGGATATGCTCATGTCATGGTTGGGCTGATGATGTTGCTGGTGCTCCTGCTGCTGATGTTGATGCTGATGATGAATCGGGTGGTTGCACTGTTGCTGCTGATGATGACGAGGATGAGTAAGATGATGCTGAGACTGATGCTGATGCTGATGCTGATACTGCTGCTGTTGCTGCTGCTGATGCTATTGATACTGCTGATGATGATGGCGGAGATGGAGGTGATGCTGATGATGATTGTGATGGTGATCGTGATGGTGATGATGGTGATGTTGCTGATGATGATGATGGTGAGGATGATGATGCTGATGATGATGATGCTGGACGATGCTGGTGATGCTGAGGATGATGAGCGTGATGGTGCTGGTGATGGTGATGGTGATACTGGTGGGGATGATGCTGCTGCTGATGATTGATGCTGATGATGATGATGATTATGCCGCTGGGCCGCTGTTTATGATTATGTTGGTGCTGATGATGACGATGACGATGACGAAGACGATGCTGATGCTGATGACGATGATGCTGATGCTGATGCCGATGATGATTATGGTGATGCTGATGCTGATGATGCTGATGCTTATGATGATGGTGATAATGATGATGGTGATTGTGATGGTGATGGTGTTGATGATGATGACCATGATCATGATCATGTTCATGATCAAGAAGATGCTGATAACGATGATCATGCTGGGGAGGAGGAGGAGGAGGAGGATCGAACTACCAAGGATTGTGGTGCTGATGACGCAGCTGATGCTGCTGATGATGATGCTGCTGATGCTACTGATGGTGATGATGCTGATGATGCTGTTAATGATGCTGATGATGCTGATGATGCTGATGATGCTGATGATGACGATGATGACGATGATGTTGATGCGGATGCTGATGCGGATGCTGATGATGATGCTGCTGCTGATGATGATGCTGATGATGATGATGATGCTGTTGTTGTTGATGGTGATGATGATGCTGATGCTGATGCTGATGCTGATGGTGATGGTGATGATGATGGTGATGATGATGATGATGATGATTATGCTGATGATGCTGATGATGATGATGATGATGATGATGATGATGGTGGTGGTGGTGGTGGTGGTGAGAGGAGGAGGAAGAGGAGAGGAGGAGGAGGAGGAGGAGGAGGAGGAGGAGGAGGGGAGGAGGAGGGTCGGGTGGAGGAGGAGCAGGAGACGGAGGGAGAGGAGCACGACGATGTTTAGGATAAGGAGGGACGGAGGGGAGGGATGGAGGGCGAGAGTGATCGCGAGGATGATGATGAGGAGGAGGAGGAGGAGGAGGAGGAGGAGGAGGAGGAGGAGGAGGAGGATGGATGGCATATCATCAGAGGAAGCCCTGGGCGCCGTCCGCAATTAGACGACGCCCAGGGCCCCAGATGCCTCTTGGGTCCCGCGCCGCCACGAGCACGCCATGCGGACGGCGTGGCGACGAAGGGAGGACCCCGAAGAAGCCCAGACAGGCATCCGTCGCGACCTTGGCCTACCCCAGGGGCAGGCCAAGGGAACGGAAGCCAACCCCGCGGGGACAAGAGCGGGCATCCCCAGCAGCCGCTAGCGGCCATTCTCACCCCACGGGGATACGGGTTCGCACACCGCGTGCGAGCCCGATCCCAGACGGCGGCCCCCCAAACCCACGCCAGGGGGCGCCGCAGGCCAAGATTTCGAGGCGGATCCCGCCAGAGCGGCGCCGACGGGGCGCCACCTCAAGAGAAGATTGGCCTGGCATCGCTCGGACATGTGCAGTTTTTTTCGGCGAGGACCATCGAGGACCATCCTGGACCATCGAGCAAACAAAAACACACACGAAACCGAAAAATGCACGGGAAATGGACGTCCGAGCGACGGCAAGTTGGCGCCGCGCAGCGGCCGCGAGCCACGGCAAGGCGTGCGCGAGGGCCCACCGCCCTCGGCGCACCCGGGCCTGCCGCGCCTCCGCGGCCAGCGCCGGCCTCCGGGCCGCCACCTGCGTGTCGATCTCGGCTCGGGCCTGCGCGGCGCGCGCCTCCGCCAGGAAGGCCTCGGCGATGGCGCGGGCTGGAACGTGTGCCGCTCAAGGACGATGAGGCGCCGCCTGCCGCCCACGTAGGCACGCTCGTCGAGCGGGTCGTCAGGGGCGGCCTCGTGCACAGCAGTGCGGCGACGGGAGCCCTCCATCTCCAGTTCGCACTCGGCGCTGCTGTCGAAGCCATGCTCCTCCGCAGCGACACCCTCCTCGTCGAGCTCGTACTCCTGGAGGTCGCCCTCGAGCAGGGGTAAGTCCACGCCGCCGACTTCGAACATCGGCTTCGGCAGCCAAGCGAAGAGGGATGTCTCGTGCTCACCGCCCAGCTCGGAGCAGTCCGCACGCTGCCCACGACCAGCTCCAGGAACAGGGCGCTGCTCTGGAAGGGCATCGTGAGCGCTGTCCCCAGGTGCATGTCGAACATCGTCCTGGGGGCGGCGGCCGCCGCGGGAGGCTGGGTGTCGGGCTCGGCGTCGTGCTGGGCTTCGTCGTTGGCGTCGGGCATGTCGTCCACCGCCGAGCGCCCGCCGTCGTCGTCGCCCCGACCGACCGCCTCAGCCGCTGGCACCCGCCAGCGCGCCCCCGACCCGGTGGTAGGCACCACGCTGCGCTGGTCCGGCTGCTGGGGCAGCTCCCTGCGGCAGCGCGGCGCCCCAGCAGGAGCGCTCAGCGCCCCACGTCGCCGCCTAGGCGCCGCCAGCGTCCACTCGCACGGCACCGCGTCGGCCGCCGCCCGCGCCACGGGCTGGCAGCGGTGCGGCAGCCGTGCCGGTGCTCGCCGCCTGCTGGGCCGTCTCCGAGGGCCCGCCCGCTTCGCAGCGCGCTGCACTCTGTTGAGCGTGCGCTGCGACATCTGTCGCACCTCCGCGGCCGGCACGGTCGGGTGATGGCTCACCACGTTCCGCCGTCCGACCGCGAGGGCGGGAGTCGTCTGCCCGCCCAAGTCCGCCACGAGGATGGGCGCGACCAGGGCGCGCCTCGCCATGAGCTCGGGCTCCGCGGCCCCCGGCCCTGGCGCGTGGCGCTCGGTCGCCGCGGCAGCCGCGCGCACCGCTGCGTGCGCCGCCTCCATGGCGCGCATGTTGGCCTCGAGCTCGGCGCATCGGGCCTCGAGCTCCGCCGCGCAGCGCACGCAGCTCCTCCGCCAGGCGCCCAGCGGTCGCCTGGCGCCCGGCCTCCTGCCTGGCCCTGCGCACGGGCCTCGACGAAGGCTTGGCCGCTGGGGCCACTGCCGGGGGTTGCTCCGCCGCCGCGAGGGCGGCCCTGCAGCTGACCGCAGCCATCTCCTCAAGCTCCCAGCACCAGACGCCGCATGCAGAGAGGGGAAGTGGCAACCAGGGGGTTTGAGACCAGCATGAGCCAAAATGGCTTGAGCCAAAGTAGCTACGGAGAAGGAGAAGGAGGAGGAGGAGGAGGAGGAGGAGGAGGAGGAGGATAAGGATACGGAAGAGGAGGAGGAGGAGGAGGAGGAGGAGGAGGAGGAGGAGGAGGAGGAGGAGGAGGGGAAATGCCAGGACGGCTCGAGTAGGGGCAAGTGGCTTCCTTTCCATGGCTGGTTTTGAGTCTTCAAACAGGTACAGGACCTGCCCTGCACGCCTGTATCGCCGAGCCTTCCCAACGCCCAGCCTTTCTCCGCGATTCCCATTTGACTTGTGCGAGAGGTGCCGTGCCGTCGCATCGGCGACGCTTTGGTCGGCGCGCCACTGGTTTCGCTCGGTGCAGTGCTGTGCGGGCATCCTGCCCCGCGTCGCGATCGTGGCGCGGGCCTCCCCCTCGTGCTTAAGAACGAGGACGACGATGACGGACGAAGAGGACGCGAACACGATGAGCGGGGAGAAATGGGGCGGGGCGGGGACGAGCGGGGTAGATCGACGCGGGCGACGAGTGAGGAGGGGGTCGGAGGGGAAGGATGCAGAGGAGGAGCGGGGGGAGAGGGATGAGGAGGTGCAGGAAGAGGAGGGGGAATTTTGATACATCAATCCTTGTGATGAGGGTTCCAGAAGACATTTGAACAACAAACAATGTTTAGATAGCTTAGTCGCCTTGAGGGTGACCCACCAGCTGTCACCGACGAAGTTCTGCAATTTGTTTTAAACCAGGGTTAATTTGCTTGTTTTGGATTTCTGTTTTTCACTGGGTTCTCAACATTTTTTAATTCCCAGCCCCGCGAGCCCTCAAGGCGACAAAGTTCTGCAAACATGGTTTTGTTTTTTAGAGCACTTACGAATATTGATTGGGTCTTTGTTTTTTCCTTTGTTTTCCAATGTGTGTTCCAATGTGTTTGGGTTTCCAGCCCCACGAGCCCCAGAGCGAGGAGGAAGAAGAGGAGCAGGGGGGCCAGAGTGAACCCAGGATGCATCAACGATGCTGCAATGCCCTTTCCCGTCACGTCGCATGTCCCCTCCTCATCAGTCTATGCAAGCGTTTCCTATCACAACTGGACGCGCATCCTTGAAAGACAGGCGCCGCAGGGGCATGGCATCCCTGAGAGAGCTCCGGAGGCGGAGGAGGAGGACCAGGAGGAGGAAGGGGGTAGGAGCAGCGGG